GAACCCGGCCACACAGCCCGGAAGACCCACACCAGCCATCGTATTCCGGCCGTGAAAGCCTTCGACAATACACAGAAAATAAATCAGTTAATATAGGTATTCTTAATTTATTGTTAGCTGCATAGAGAGTGGCTAGGCTGATACCGGATTTAAATTGGGGTGTGGGGAGGGAAGGTAACCGACCTGCCTTCCGGTCTCTTCTTTCCCGAACTCACCCCAGTTGAAACCCAACATCTGCCTAGCCATTCTGTGCATCTGATGAAGCGAGAAAGCGTTTGCCTTTTAGCACAATTTGTTAGTTGGAGTCGTTAATCCCGAGCCTGACTCTCTAATAATACGTTCCGTTGTGTTCAATCTGACTCGTATCTGAGGATGCAGCGTCCTTTCCTCTGTGAAAACTTCCAGTGGATTTTAATGCGTTCTTTAAGGCGCTATAAGGCTGTTATTTTCACACATTATTCATCAGTATGGTGAGATAAAGTGAATATAGGACATCCCTGAAACCTTGGTTTTTCAGCAGGCTTGGAGATCTCAGAGAAACGGGAGCCTGCAAGATGGTTATGCTGTATGTAAGATACTGGTCCATTCTCCCGTGGTTGTAATTTTAATTTAATTTTTATTTGTATTTGTGTTTAACTGTTTTTAAAACTGTTGTTTTAATTGTTTTAACTGGTTGCTTATTGTATGCTGTCCAGAGTCACGTATGTGAGGTGGGCAGCTACAGTAGTCCTTGACTTACGACCATTCGTTTAGCAACCACTCAAAGTTCCGACAGCACTGGAAAAAGTGACTTATGACCAATCCTTGCACTTACAGCCATCGCAGTGTCCCTGCAGTCACGTGATCACAATTTAGGCACTTGGCAACTGTTGCAAATTTACAACAGTTGCAGCATCCTGCGGCCATGTAATTGCCATTTGTGACCTTCCCAGCTGGCTTCTGACAAGCACAGTCAGTGGGGAAGCTGTCAGGGAAGATCTCAAGTCACGGTCGCGTGATGTCTCGCTTAATGACTGCACTGCTTAATGATGAATTTTCCGGTTCCTACTGTGGTCATAAGTCAAGGACTACCTGTATATAAATCCAATAAATAAATAATATATGAATGTGCTTTGTTCCAGGAGTAAGCAATCTGGTCTTCTCCACATATTTTGGATTTCATTTACCACGAGCCATGGGCAACATTGCCATTGAACAAAGCTTCTGCGAGTTGTCCAAAATATGAAGGGAACCAGGTTGCCCACCTTTTGTTTGGAGATAGAAGTCATTATCTGATAGGTTTATTGATCTGCTGTGATTGCTGTCCTCGTTCCAGTTATCACGCTATGAGCAAACTTGTATGGACTTGCTCATCCTTTTTTTTTTCCTTTGCAAATGCAGAGCTTACCTACCATGCAGCCTCGCTTAGTGGCTGTCAGTAAAACAAAACCGGCAGAAATGGTCATTGAGGCTTACAACCATGGGCAGCGCAGTTTTGGAGAAAACTATGTGAGTACCTGGCTTAATCTAAGGTTGAAAGACAGGATGAGCCTCCTAGGACCCATCCTAATGACTTCTCCACGAACCTGTCTTCGGAGTTAGTTCATGTTAAATAAGGCTGAGCATTCCTCAAGCAAAGAAGAGAAAACGTGCATTCTGTACTAGCACATCTTAGCATATATTTTAACATAAGATCTGTGAGTTGCTTCAAGTAAGGTTGCTGGCTGACGCTTATTTTTCAGCTGCTTGGAGTATATATGTGCTCATTCACTGTTTCTTCCAGCAAAATGCAACCTCCTTTGAAAAAAGTGGAGGTGGCAAAAGCAGTTGAGATGGATCTGAGTGCTTTCCAACAGATATGAGAACTTTCTTTACGTTGCAGATGGAGGGGAAATCTTTATTGAGTGGAATGGAGAGCTTTGATTTGTGATTTATCTATCACTGTATAGTGGCGAGGATACACATGTCTAGTTAATTTGGTTTTTGTAATCCTAATAAATTAGCGTGGGCCAGTAGTATAAGGCACTGCACTTCTGTTGGATGTTATGTGTACAATGATGGTGCTGTATTCAGGACAATAATAATTTATAATTAATAATAGTTAATAATAATAATAATAAAAATAATAATAATAAATATAATAATAATAAGCAGGTGGGCACACAGTGCAATTTGGGCAGGAGCTTCTTCTCTTTCCTGTACTATACTTTTCATAATCCTCTTTTTCTTGCATTGCCTCACCTAAGAAGAATTCTACAGATGATTTGTGTAAAGTAAATGAAAGTAAACTTTGCAAATCTTAATTGGATATTTTTATTTTCTGTAGGTCCAAGAATTGTTAGAAAAAGCATCCGATTCCAGAGTAAGTAGGTTTATGTATATTTCTTAGATGAAATCTGCGAGTTGTCAATATCCTGATCAGTGTAGAACATACCACTCTTTGAATAAAATGACTACTCGTTTGTTCTGCAGAAGATTCCTCTCTACTGAAATTTTGCAGCTTGGTCTACGTCTAAATGAGAGATGATTTTGAACAAAGTGGTTCTTTTTCCTTGAGACCCCTAGTAATTTGAAATAATTTTCTCATCTGGACTGTTCTGGAATATGGCCAGGGGTTATTAACAGTAGCAGTTATGTGAAATTAAACACACACAACCATACCCATGTATTTTTTTAAGGCCTTGGTTGACATTTGTGTCTCTCTTTGAAAATAGGAATTATTTTGTGACTTTTAATCCTGTGTGCCTTTTATATGGTACTTTGCTTGAGAAAATCAAAGTATAAATACACAAATAAGTGTAAAACAATGCCATTTAGCTTCAAATCAGAATATCACACTCCTTGTCTCTACCTCAGATTCTTTCTTCCTGTCCGGAGATTAAATGGCATTTCATTGGCCACCTGCAGAAGAGTAATGTCAACAAGCTGATTGGTAATTATATCTGCTTTTAGTACTGATTTAAGAGATTGGGAAAAGCTTACCATAGCAAGACAGGCCTGTTCAATTTAACTGCATGTCTCACTGTTGCCTGTCTTTGTTTTGGAATTTCAGATAATGGCATTGGGTGTGTGAATTAGTTGTCTGAATAGGGGTGTTGAAATAAAGCATAGGAAGTGTTTGTGATCAGACTGCATTAGGCAAGGAGCAGGTCACTTTCCCCTTTCTTCTGTGGATACTCTCCAAGTCTTTCCAATCCCAGGAATTGCTGTCTTCAATTTTACATTTGGTGTCTTACTATATTTAATTATTTTGTGCCATCTATATAGAGGGTGCTTCATAAATGACTAACGTGACAGGTCTATCCAAGGGATTTTTAGAATTAGTGCAAGGAGATGGGTCCTGGGGAAATGCATTGCACCATGGATAGGCAGAGAACAAATACACAATTACTTCACTGAAATACTTTAGTCTAATTTGGTATATTTTAAGTGTCAGTGAGGGCAAGCCCTCTTCCACTTTCATAACTTACTAACCACTTAGTATTGAATCTAGGAATGACAGGGTATGTTTCTCAGCAGGGTCTGTCCAGCGTATGTCACAAATGATATTTGCTAAGATCCTTTTTTATTTGTTTAGTGGTGCCTAACCTATTTATGCTGGAAACAGTGGATTCCATTAAACTGGCAGACAAGGTGAATAGTTCCTGGCAGAAGAAGAGCTCTTCTGAAAAGCTAAAGATTATGGTGCAAGTGAACACCAGCGGAGAAACTAGTAAGTAGACCAGGTATTGTTCTTACACACATGAACATGATTTTGAGTCACAATAAGGTTTTGGCTGGTTTGTCAGGCTGCCTGTAAGGTAGAGAAACTCATTTTTGAGAACTTCCAATGTACACACTCAATGGCTGGAAAGGAGTGACATCTGACATTTTGCAGTGTTTGGCAGGATATCTGCAAGAGGCATGGGCCTGCAGGTGTCCATACACAGAACCTTAAAATATTTGGGTTTGAAATCACTTGGAAAACCTACACCCCAGCAACTTATTTTATGGGCTTCCCTTTACAGATAGCACACCAGTTGTGCTGAGGTGGTTAAACGGCCAGCGAATGGTCCCAAGGTCATTCTCCCTGAGTGTGGAGGAATGGTGTGTCAGTAGGACTTGTGATTTCAGTAGTCTTGGACAAGGAGTCCCTCCTATCCTAATTGTAAATGCATCTACGTCTTGCTGGAGGGTCTTCCTGCAAAGAACTCCATCCATGGAAAGTGCAATGGTGTGTTCTCTTGCATAGGTAAACATGGGCTTCCACCTGAGGAAGCAGTGACAACAGTGGAACATATCCTTCAAAAATGTCCCAACCTAGAATTCGTTGGCTTGATGACAATTGGAAGCTTTGGGCATGATCTCAGTCAGGGTCCCAATCCTGACTTCCAGGTGGGTGTGATCTTGAGAGATAATTCTTGTAGGCAAGGCTTGGCTTTTAAGGAAGAGATTGAGCTGTGTTCTCTCCCCCACCCGACCTCCTTTCTCCAGATGTTAACATCTCTGCGTCAAGAACTGTGTGAAAAACTCAATATCCCCATTGAAAAAGTTGAGCTGAGCATGGGGATGTCTACAGACTTTCAACATGCAGTAAGTCTGTTTGTCATCTTTGCCACAGATTATCAGAAACCTTTTTCTTTTCTTTTTGCTTTCTTTTCTCTTCTCTTTCTCTTTTCCTCTTGCCCAGTGAAGGATGCTAATAAAGGCTCTAGGTCAGCTTTCCTAACCTAGTACCCTCCTAATGTGTCATACTATAAATGAAAATAAGTAAATGAATTAACTCATTTCCAGCTAGCTGGAATGATTTGTCTATTCCATTGTTATCTAAGGAACAGTTACACAGTGGAACCAGTTGGCCTAGAAAGCAGCAAGCGCTTTGTCTTTGGATTTATTCAAGCAAAAGCCAAGCACCAGCTGCTGCAATTTTTTACCCAGAACTGCTAGCAAGTGAACTTGGAGGGTTTTGGGGGACGCAAAGCATGTGATTTACCATTGTGCATCAATTACGATGGCCTCCAATCGTGCCCCTATAAATTAGCTTTGTATGCATTCAAAGTTTTGATTCATTCATTTTGATTGGCTTAGGTGTTTTCTACTGTTGCCTTTTGATCAGTGGTCCCGTGAGGCAGGCTGTCTCAGTTCTATCCCACCAGTTGCCTAAAACCAGTGTTTCTCAGCGGTAGCAAATAAGGGATATGAGGGCTTCAAAGCCCAGAATTATGACTTGCCAAGGTTGGGAATCCCCATTCTTACTCGAGGCTTTCCTAACAAAGAGCTCCAGACTCCTAGCTAAGGGAGAAAGAGGTTCTTCCAGTTCATGTCATGGACACTGCTGCTCCTAACAGTGGTTTTCCTCTCCCTTTAACTGTGCACAGATTGAAGTTGGATCTACCAATGTCAGAATTGGAAGCACAATCTTCGGAGAGCGCAGCTACCCCAACAAACCTTCTAGCGACAAGACCCAGAAGGAGGTCAAAGACAGACTGGAGAATTTGACAGTAAAGGAGAACTAATGGCAGGGAAAATCTGCTCAGATACCCAGGCACTTGACGCTTTGTGCTGACCGCAGCGGGGCACGAGCAGGTAACTGGTGGGTGTGGCAGGCACTTCAGCACCTGTACCTTTATTCTTGTATATCCATTGAGGTTGCATTTATAAAAAAACACAGCAGCACCTGTGGTTGACAAGCACTTCAGTACTTTAACTGCGGTGACTTTAAGGAGCTACCCTGGATAACCATTTGACTTAAGCCCTACTAGGTCTGGGCAGAACACCATTTCCAAGAGTGACCAGGACGCATTTCTCATCAGAGGCACGTTTCTGGTTTGCTTCCCCCTGAAGCAAGGTTGCCTTAGGGAAAGGTGATTCTCCACTCTCCCACTCTCAAAGCTTTTATGGGTCAACTTCTGTGCTTCATGGAGACCGAAGCATCCTTGCTCTCTTAATCTTTCAGAAAACCTGCTCAGCTTGAGTGGTTTGCTGAGTAGCACACGGGGGAAAGATGGGTAGGGATCCCCTTGTCCATTAACCTACCACTGCTTTTGAGATTTGGAAGAGGCTGGGGCTGAAATCGTTCTGAAAATCGCCACTGCCAACACTGATGATCAGCTCTTTGTTTTAGCATTTGCTCTATAAAGTAATGTCCCTTTTTCTTGCCCCTTTACTTGGATCAATTAAAGGTTGGAACGGTTCTGATAGGAAGCAGGATGGTCTGCTTGTAAAAGCCAAGAAACTCGCTGGCTCTGCTGCTAACGTGCAGGGTGATCTCAGCCAAATCACTTAACCGTGCTGTGCCTGGTCCCTATATGAGAAATGGGGCTGACCTACCTCACGGGGCAAATTGAGGGGTTGCTGGGTGAGAAACCCTTCTCCCTCGTTATCATCCTTCCATAGGAAAGGCAGGGCTGCAAAATGAAGCAGCCTTCAACAGAAAGCCAGCAACGATTTGCTCGCTTGTGCTCACACCCGTGATGAGACAGATGGAATTGCAAGACTGGAAACGGCACATGTGCAAATAATGGTTCTCCCGGGCAAACTATGGAATTTCTGCGTTTTAACGCCAAGCCCTCTCTTTGCAGATTTGGGGTCTGGAGTGTTAGGAAATAATGATGGGTTGTATCCCCCACTGTATATACTGTGCCCCCATCTTCAGAAAGTGCATCTTGACAAAACTCTTGTTGAAACAGAATGCATCACTAAAGATCTATCAGAGTATTCACCCTTCCTTCTGCAAACCCCAGTTGGTGAAAATGTTTACAGTGGAATCTGTTTTGTAACTCACATGTTGACAATCTACTTCAAGGCCTGGCCTCATGCTGTAAGTGATCTTAGTCCATGGTAGAAATATGTGTTAATTTTTTTTTAAAAAAAACATTCTTTCCTTTGTCCTCTGTAACAAAAAGCTTCTAGCTCTATGCATCTCTGGAGTAATTTAGTGGTGTGTCTTTGAGCCCTTTGTGATATAAAGCACATGCTTGACCTGCAGAAGGCTCCAGATTTAACCCCAGCACCCCAGTTAAAAAGGTAGCAGGTTATGGGACTGAACTGTACTTGAAATTTTCAACAGCCAGTAGCAATCTCAGAGTACATTGGACTTACCAGGTGAGACTGCCCGTCCACGTAAAAGCCAGTTTCCTTTGTCCTAATCGTGGGAATCCCTTGGTTGTTCACATCTTGGACACAATTCTAATATATAACTGCAAGATACAAAACATCCTGCCAGCCAGTGTTTTACAGTGTAGGTGCAGTGCTAAATGCAGTCCAAACTGACCCATCCCACTCCCTGATCTCCACAGTGTTTTCTTTGTCTTAAGAATAAAACCAGTTGTAGATCAAAATACTGTACTGGTTACTAAGCTATTAAAGATACATATATATTTTTTTTTCCTTTTCCTGTCCTGTGGTGTTGTGGATGCTTTGAGCAGAGATTGACACGCATCTGCTTGGATTTTTATTGCCATGTCCAGGCCCAAGACAGTTTTGTTCAGGTGTCTGGTGAGAACTGTGTAGATGTTCAGAAAGTGTGTTACTGGACCACCTTGCTCTAGGGGCAGTATCTGAAGATTTTCTATCAGTCTAGTGACTGGACCAAGCTAGACTAACATGGAGAAGGTGGGCAAGCAGGTGGTACTTTTGAAGACTGCCAAGAGGAAATCAGTAATGGATTGTCAGGTGCCCAGTGCTGTTAGACTTAAGATAGGAGTGAAAAAAGTGGCTTGCAAGCATCCTTTTTGTAGACCCATGAGGTCATACCGCTAAGACTGAGCTGGTCCCCAAACAATTATTTTTCACCTGTTGGGTTTTGGGAAACAAGGGGGCAATTGGGTGCCTTAAACCTTGCATTTTCCCCTTAACCTCACTCTCCATTTCCCAAACGGGTCCTGACCTCACCACATATTGTGTGGGTCATGGGCAGGCTATACAAAGCTTTGTGCGACTCACAAGCCCACAAATTCTTCATCCATCTGTCCTACAGAGGTTGTCAGTGCAAAGCAAAGTACAGCCTCTCAAGGAATCATGATGTCATCTTGGGGAGGAGCTTTAGATGGATATGTAATAGTTTCCCATCTTCTCCAAATTTCAAAGGAGAACATGTTTACGCTTGTATTCTTGCGTGCATGTGTATGAAAAAGTTGGGAAACTAGAATGAGAGGAGGCAGACACTAGGTGGCACCTTTTGCTAATTCTCAAAGAGCAAGAATGGAGTAGTTACGATGCTAACTCTATATTTCTGCCTCAAAAAGTGGAAGTATGGCAGAAAATTGAATCTCAAGTTTGCTTTTTTAAAGAGCTTTCGTACTTGATGTTCACTATGTATAGAGCACACATCCTTTGATAAGAATAAATTGTTTATGAGTGTTAAATACCTTACTTTTAACATGCCAAGCTAGAGTATTGGAGAATTTGCTTTACAACAGCTGCCATAAATAAAGTGAAATAACTGGAAAGCTAAAATGAATCAAGGTGTTCTTCAAATAATGGATCTTCAAAGCAATATCCTTCTTGCAACTGTGGAATGGTGCATTTATTTGGTATACTGAAAGCTACAGGCTAGTGAATTAGAAATAATAGTTCTGTAGAGATCCCACCATCCCCTGCTTTATTCTCATAACAACCCAGTGAGCTAGGTTGAAAGAGTGGTAGATCCAAGGAACCACAGTGAAGTTCATAGAGAAGAAGGAATTTGAACCCAGGTCACTTGGTTTTT